AAAAGAAAGATCAGACTAAATATACAGATAGAAATGTTACTATAAAACTATGGTTAAATACATACATTTTGTTATAATTTAATTTATATATATTAAAATATTTTTAAATATATATATATTAAATAATTAAAATATCAAAATTTAAGATTACGTTTTTTTTGTCATTAATGTTGGTTCCATTTTCATGACTTCTAGCACTTTATTATATACAAGTTGAGGTACATCTATGGCCCATAAGAAATCCAAGTGATTGAACTTAGGAAATGGTACTTTGTATTCGTCCACTACATTGGGTAACAGACTGATGAGTCTTTTTACATCCTTAAAGAAACAATTTCGTAAGCAATCTCTTTTTCTTATATGTCTCTCTTGATATAAAGCCTTATTTATACAAATAATTAAGAAAATTAATCTTTAATTAATTAAAGATATATCTTTAACGTATATATCTTTTTGATCTAAATGTGCTTATTTTACCTACCGGAATGCCAGATAGCCAGTCATTTTCGGCGTAGAATATTGCGAAAGGCGTGGTGATGTTTGCAAGATTATAATCTGGTGGTTCAGGTGTGTTGTAAATTTGTAGATTTTTCACGCAACCATAATCGTATTGGCAAAACTTGCCGGAATTATGTTCCTGAGCAAAGTGTACTAACGTTTTGGTCGAAGTACCGGCTGGATAAGTACTCAAAATCGAAGGTATTAGGTTCTAAAAGACGAACATGAAATCTATTCTCAAATTGGGATCATACGAGCGGAATAGTGATTGAAATCAATCCAGAGATAGAAATATTTTCATCATGATACTCGAGAAATACTTACAACATCAAATTGCTCCCTATCAAAACCTAGAATCAGAAACAGCAAATTGGTGCAAATCTTATCCTGAACAAATGTCATGTCGCAGGCGAGCTTGCTCATGAACTGTATTAAAGAGCTATGTGGTAGAAACTCGTCTTCGCCAAGAAGATATAAGAGCCCCTGTAATTGAAATTCTTTTATCCACAATATAATTTGCTTGTAATTCGATCTTATAATGAATATTTGAGAATATATGAACCATTCTTTGAAACGTGATTTTTACATAGGAGCTCCGAATTATTCTCCTTAATCTTGCAATATTTCAAAAAATATTTATTTGAAACTAATTCAAATTCTTAGTATTATACATGTTCTATAACGATTAATATTTCAGAGAGCAAATGAGGATGAAATTTTGAACTAAAAGTTCCTTTGTCAATTTTGGCTCAGATCATTACTTACCGAGTTATTAATGATTAAAATTGATCAGTCAGATCAACACGCAGCCGGAGTATGCAGGAGTGTAGTATGCCGTGGGACTCCTCGCGCTTGCTATGCATTATCCTGATTGAAATTTTATTCTAATTTTTCATAAACAAATCATCAAATAGGTGATAAATAAATATGGTCTGAGCTAAAATTGGCAAAGGAACTTTTAGTTCAAAATTTCATCCTCGTTCACTTCTTGAAATATTAATTAATCGTTAGGACATCCTGTATATCTTCGGAACTTCAAAATCATAAATTAAAATTTTATTAAAGTAATTGTTCTTAGATGAAAACTGAAAAATAATAGTATTATTTGTTTGGCTAATATTTCAATCATTTATAATACTAATACTATAATATTTGTTAAAAAACAAACTTCAAAATTTCAAAAATTAATTAATTACTTGAAAAAAGAAGAGAGAGCGTCTCAGAATATTCTAATTTCAAATCATTGTATATTTGTAATCTCAAATCATAAGATAGAAAAGATAAAAATAGCTTTTTATATTGGATGTTGTTTTAAATTATTTTGCCATAAAAAATTATTTTCTTATGACTTTACCTCAATATTTCCTGCGAAAGGAGTGAGAAATCGTATAGGACTTCTTATATGAGTCATAAATGCTACAGGCGCGAAGCTGATTATCAATCGCACCATTCGAGCGATTTCCGGACGTTCTGCTGCCATCACATAAGAAGCAGTTGTGCCCATTGAATGACCGATGTATGTGTGCAATGGTTGCGATGTTATATTCGTAATATGTAAGATCATTGCAGGTAAATCGTAAACGCCCATTTCGTGGAAGCTAAAGAAAAAAATTGATATATGTATATCATTACGGAATATAACAAAATATATTATTACATAGTATTACAGTGTAGAACTGATTAATCAATTTCTTATCATGCATAAGTTAAGTTACATATTATTATAACTATGTTACATTTAACGCACTTATTTTTAATTTATTAATGTAAATACCTGAAGTTCCAAAATTTTGAATCCGATGGCGATAAAGAAACATGTGCCCTCGAATAAGTATTCCCACGAAAATTACCCATCCAAACGTCATATCCGTGATTGGCTAATATGAAAGCTAGCAAGAAGAATAAAACATTGTTTCCAATAGATTCTATTATTTAACTGTTATTTAACTGTTATTTAACTGTTAATATTAATATAAATATATAAGTAGCTAGTTAAAATTAATGTATAAAGTTGATTGTGAGATACATTATTAAGCAAAAGAGATCAGAACAATTTTTATTGTCGAATAAGTTAAA